TACATAATAAATAAAGTAAATAAAAGCTGAAATAAATAACAACTGAATTAACAAACTGACTCAAACTGACACTACTATAACTGAAACAAATAACTACACTGCTGTCCTACGAACACAGTGGGGACCACTGCAGTGGGGCCCACATCAGTGTTCTCTACAAATAATAAGCTATGCTACACCCAGTTGATTTGCAAATTGCACTCCTTGTAAGGCTGCTAGTAGTTCTCTACTCAAGGGACTTGAGTAGATAAGTACAACCTCTCCAACCACGTTTCTCAAGACCCCCCATCCCAGAGCGCCTGGATTGCCCTGAATACTCCCATCAAAGTTCAGCTTTAGTGAGCCTTTAGGCGGTGGAATCCATCTTGTAACTGCCTTGGTCTTCCTAGATGAACATCTTGCTACTGCTGACCAATTTCTCCATAAACTTGAAAAGGAGAAATGATGGAATGGTTCAAAGGTCTTTAACCAATGAATTGCCCTATTCAACACATAATCCTTTACATCTTGGCTACTCCTCTCCTTCTCTTGGAAGATTCTGGTGTTCCTTTATTCCCATATTGTTCATAGCAAGGCTGCTCTAGCACATCTTACATAATTCTCCTTCTTTTTTTAGGTCAACTGAAGGTAGAAGGGTTAAATCATGCAAAATTTTGCTGGCATGTTCCACCTACACCCAAACAACGAAAAAAAAAGCCAATCTTATAATTCTGCAGAAAAAGGACAGGACATCAATAGATGGTAACAATCCTCCCCATGAAGTCTACAAAGAGTATACTAGTTGGGTGAAATACAAAGGAAAGGTCTTCTCTTTTGTAGGTTATCTAAAGTGTTCACTTTCCCATGATACGCTTCCCAACAAAACACCATTATCTTAGGGGGAACCGGCCTAGACCAAATTTCCTTTGAATGGAAAACATATCGAGAGGAAAACTGACAAGGGGACTTAAAAAGAAGCACAAGAGAAGGTCCTTTTGGACTTGTGAACCCAAATCCTGTTGTCTGGCTTAGAAGGATCCAAATAAACTTGATTCAAGAGACAGAAAATTAGAGAGAGAATCAATGTGAAAAGTGAAGGGAAAAGCTCCTTTAAAGGGGTATTTCCAACCCAAACATCCTTCCAGAACCAGACAGTGTTTCTAGAACAAACGTCATACCTGACATACCTGAGAAACTGAGGAAGAACAATGTGAATGGCTTTCTGAGGTGTTGCCAAAGTGGCCTGCCCTGATACACCAACATCCCACCCATTCTCTAAACTGCCATGAATACTTCCCACCATTTCATGCCATAACCTCTCTCTCTCTCTCTCCAAAGGCCACCACCATAACCATTTCCCCAATAATGCTTGGGATCCATCTAACTAACCCAAGCATTCAGCCTTTCTAGAGACTTCCTAAACTCAATTATGAAGTGTGCCAAATGCCATGGATCACTTCCCACTTTTAACACTAATCCACTGATGAGAATGGCATTGGGAACTAAAGAAGACCTACAAACAGAAATGAATACTGATGTGGGAAAGGAGACATGGCACTTCATTTTATGAAATCCCAGATATAGATATGAATGAGAATCCTGTCCAGTTTTTGTTTGCCATGCCTCTACACCGAGTATTTTGCTAAGCTATATTTCTTTTTACTTACAACAGATCATAAAGAAATTTTTTTTTTTTGATAATTTTAATATATGTGGACTTTCTTATGGTGATACTTGTTTAAAACATACCATTGATATACTTTTGTTGGCTAAATGAAGGGAATTGTTATTATTTATGAGCCCAGATAATAATAAATAGTAAAATAGGCAAGGAACATGTATTATGAATGTGTAAATGGAGTACCCAGGTGTCAAATCAGTATCATGGGTCTAAAGAGGGAGAAGATGTTGATGTTTTTGGATATTATGTATTTTCATTTTCGCCAGAGTTACTTGTCAATAACATAATGGATGTGATTATGAATTTAATGGTTTTGATGTCAAGGCATTAAACTTATGTTCAATGATAACAAAAGCTATAATCACAGTTACAACTATATTGCATACATAAAACATGCAAATCTGTAAGCAATAAGAATAAGGTTCACTGAGTGCATTGTAAAATGTACCAAGAATGTGAAAATTAATAATAAAAGCCTCTTGCATCTGGGAACCACAGGATCTGTAGATGGGCCAACTCCCATTCTTGTGATGCGTCTCATATTTATGGGTAGGTTTGGGATCCACCATTTGACATTTCCCACCTAATAGATTATCTAGGTTAAAAGGATATTGATAAAGGACTTTAGTTACCTGTTTATACTTTTAAGCTTTTTGGTGCTAATGCCATTTCTTTCTTTCTTTCATTTTAGTCACCACTAAGATGAAACAGTAAAATGGATTGTTTGGACTATCTCTTTAAGCTGATTTTCATCTCCCAAGCAGGGCCCTTGTAGTAATTTTCCAATCCTTGAAAGTCAGGGGGTTCCAGGGTATTCCAGAGGACCTACTGCCCATGTTCCGACAAATTCCCAATTATGGAAAACTGAAGTACCATAGAGATAATGGATGACAACAACATGCTATGATGAACATGCCATCTGACATTTATACTATATTGATATCATTACTTTTGTTAACTTGAACAAACATGAGCATATACAGTTTCTGTACAGTAAAGCATGGGAAAACCAAATTTTGGCCTATTCCAACATTTTTCAAATGTCTGATGGTTAAAACCATATTTGCCAAATTTCATTGTCCAAGACTCTATTGTTGCCATTCTTTGTTATTTATCTTTGTTTCTGCAAATTTTTTTGAGTGATTCCTTATTGCAAATGCATGAATCTTTGCCATGAACTTGTAAGTACTGCTTCTATTCAGCAAATATTGAGCTTGTAATTTTACAGCTACCCTTTCTATCTTTTTAACAAACTCTGCTCCTGTCTCCATGTAAATGGTGACCAATTGGCAGGTCTCTAAGACATTTGGAGAGGGAAAATTCTCATTAGAAGAATATGTCTCCACTTTAAAGGATATAGTTGGCATGAATATTCTTATTGAAGCTATAGGAGTTGGTAAAGAGAAACATGACCTCACTGGGATTATGATGGAGCCTTTAAAGACCAATCAGGTTATCTCTACTCGTGCTGAAATACCAATTGGCAAGGCATGCTCCTCTCTTACATCTGGAGACATCATCAAATTTCTAACTGGAGACTTCAGATTAAGCAAAGCTCGGTCAAATGRTCTATTCTGGGAAGCTGTTTGGCCCCGTTTGCTAGCAAGGGGCTGGCATTCTGAGCAGCCTAAGGATCATGGTTTTGCTGGCTCTAAGCATTCCTTGGTATTTCTTGTACCTGGTGTCAAGAAGTTCTCAAGAAGGAGACTTACTAAAGGAAATCACTACTTTGATTCTGTTAGTGATGTCTTGAGCAAAGTTGCATCTGAGCCATGGCTTCTTGAGCTTGAGGTTGAAGCAGTTAGAGGCAATGGAAGCAAGGAAGAATATGGATGGGAGACAGAAACCAAATTGGACCAAGATTGTCCATCCAATCGTCAACGCCATTGTTATCTTCGACCACGATTACCAAATTGTAATTCAGATCTCATGAAATTTACAGTTGTCGATACCAGCATGGTTCATGGAGAAGGACCATTCAAGGTGAGAGAACTGAGAAATTTACCCGTCGACATGACTAATACTTCCATTCCCACAAGTCTTTCAAGAGAAACTGATGAGGATAGCTCTGAGGAGCCAACAGATGAGCCAGATTCTGCTGACGTGTTGTCAAATGATCAAGCAAATACCAACACTTCCAGCCCAATGACGGTTATCTTTGACAAGGGAGTGCACTCTGATTTGTCAGATTGTGTGCTTAGTGTTTCGGTGCAGGAGAAGCTAATGAATAACCCAGTTCCTATGAATTTCCCAGAGAACAATCACAAGGATCTGTCTGTCCATATGTCTAATAACAARCATCAGAGGAAGAACCAATTTAGCCGGAGAGTGAAATCTGGCCACTCAAACTATTGAGCTCCTGTCACAAAACGGCGGAGATTAACTGCTTGTAGTCGCAGTTTRAACAATTTCTCTGTAGCTCCAGGACAGGAGGAGCCCCATTGCCAGTCAGACTCACCTGATGGAAGTGAAAACATGGTTTCTCAAATGGGTATGTCTCTGGATAAGGCATCATCTACTAGCTCTTCTGCTAAAGACAATCCAGATGAGTGTTGCGATGGCATCTGCAAAGGCATTCTTGGTCAGAACTATTTCGGTACAGAACTACCTCATGAGAAACCTGAACCCCGGACTTTGATTGACCTGAACCTACCCCATGTCCCTCCGGATTTTGAAATTGATGAGCCCTTTGTCATGGAGGTGACAGACAGCCAGGATGACCCAAGTCAAGGGGGTCATCCATTCCATCTGAAAGACAGCACATGGAGGAGTCAGAGGTGTTACAAACCTCAAACAACATTGCTACCACAGAAGAGCAGCCTATTGCAAATGCTAGGAGGCAGAGCACTAGAAACCGGCCATTGACCACTAGAGCCTTGGAAGCTCTTGCTTCTCGTTTCTTTAACACTAAACGGAGGAAGAGGAGCCCTGATGCTCTGTCGCATGAGAACTCAATATCAAGAGCTTCCAGGCGGAACCGAGGCAAGGTCAGAGTTTCTGGGAATTCTGGTGGTGTTTCTACTAAGACTGTGAATTCCAAGGCAGAGGAGGCATTGGTTGATGGTGAGTCTAATACTAACACAATCATGATTGACAAGTCTCTTCAGTCTGAGAGGAAAGGAGTTCACGAGTTATTAGGGGTCCTTAGTCCTCCCTATCCTCCTGAAGTAATGATGTGTAAAGATGATTTATCTGGTTAGGTGGTGATATTCTAATTTTCAATGGGATTGAAGATGCAACAGTTTAGGATGCTCTTTAAAGTGGTCCCAGTAGTTAGCAACTTGGCATGCCTATGAGCATGTTATCACTATGTTTAACCAGTTATCTGGGGGCATCACCATTTTTGGGATGCTCTCATGATTCATTAATTTGTAGGAGTATGGATATCTTTGTCACATTTCCAACTTACTCCCATAGGGCTGGTGTGGTAACTTGAATGTTGCAAAGAGTCATGACATAGTGGCATGCAGGTTGTCTACAAAGATGTAGCAACAAGGAGGTGACCACGAGGAACAAGAAAGATAAGAGGAGATTTAAGGAGAGGCATTTTTCAGGCAAGAATTGACAGATCTGTCATTTCCCTTCTGTAAAGTTGACTTGCAGTCATTGTGAAAGGGGTCTGAAAGGTTGCTGGATGGCAAAGTTGATTTTCATGATGATGAGGAAGATTAAATTTTGATTTGGTAGGTTTTGTTTGTATTTCTGCAGATGTTTGGCCTCATTATACAAGTGGACATATATAATTTATTCATTCCTGCAATGTTGTAGTTTATTTATGTTCTGATGGCTTCCATCTATTATGGATCAAAGCTTCTGCACTTTCCCTTTTTATCCCACTTTGTATGTATTCTTACTGCAGCAAAGGATCCAAGACATGAACTTGCTGATCAATTCATTCTATCAGATACCTTTAACAAACCAATAGTCATTCTGTCAAAAAATGAAAAAAAGGCCAATGGCCTCTCATAGCTTTCTTCATTCTAACAGGAACTTCGTTCCTTTTCCTTTAGCCGATCCCATATGGTTGGGATGAGGCTTTAGTCTTTGTTTAGTTGAGTTGAGATACGGACTGCATCTCATACAGTTGAGAATTTAATACAAAATCATCATTGTTACTAATATAGATTTCACCAGTTTGGGTGCCACACTCACTTTCCAAAATGCATTTGGGCTTAAAACTTTTTATTTTTTAACTACAGGCTCAGGATGATAACAAATTGAACTTGGAAATGTAGCAAATTGTCATTCAAAACTTTATAAATCAACGCCACGTATTCAAGGAATAACAATGAATCAAAGTATTAAACCTTGATACTCGGATTCACTAGCCAACCTCAGGAAGCCATAGTGGAGAAATTTTGGCTTAAATGACCTTTCCAAGGAGGCAACACTCATCTACAAAGTGGAATACAGATGGATATTTCCAAATATAGATGAAGTTAATTTTGACGCTTCGAGGAAATCTGATGGTAGCTGTGCCTATGGATGTATTGCCCGAAACCATCAAGGAAAGATCATCAGAATAGTGTCAAACACTATTAGGAAGACATCAATAACGATACCTGAAATGAGAGAGAGAGAGAGCAAAACAGTTTGGGTACAGAAGAAACATTTTACCCCAAAATTGGTCAAAACAGTTTCCAGGTCAATGTTTTCAAACAGCTTTTGACACGGATGATTGAACTGTTTGGTAACTAGTTTCGTTTTACCCCAAAATTGGTCTCTGGCCAAAAACCATTGAATTGGTCAACAATCCATTAAATTGAACAGTTTTTTATTTTAATTTATTGTCATAATGGACTGTTCATTCGAATTGAATGGTCAACCATTGACCTGGAAACTGATGCCCAGGACGGTTCCAGTTTCAAGTTGGTTTTTAAACCCTTGTTATTGAGGGGGATTACTATTTACTATCAAGGCACTCTGCGATAAGTGTGAAGCTACGTGGGCCTGTTGAAACATGAAGGAAGAATGCTTGAAGAGGAGAACATCTATCTTCCAGTATAATCATATTCATAGAGAAAGGAAACCAAGTAGCGGGTTGGCTTGCCAATGTGGGTCACTCGAGAAGTCTATCAGGCTTGGATCCTTGCAAATGGAACCTTAATTACATAGTGTTTATCTTAGGGTGTCCTAGTCTTTCTTCTTTCTTGTGCTAAAATTTAATTAATTATAATGGAGACAACGAGAACCACATACTATAGTCAAACAGACTCTAATACCATCTCAAGAAACTCTTCAACTTAAAAGTTTAAACTATAAGGTGAATTCCCTGAATGGATTTTAATTCTCTAACAGGATTGTGTGTGTATGGCTTGGTAGTAAAGCACTTCTCCATTAGTGACTGTACTCATCTTTGGGAAAAAGGGTGAATTCCCTGAATGTGTGTGATTTCGTAGTAAAACACTATTGGGTGAATTCCCTGAATGGGTTTTTATTCTCTTCTCCATTAGAGTCACCACTCTTCTTTGGGAAAAAGGGAAATATCATCCCTGATAGCGAGACTGCTTCTCTGACCCTCTTTTTGGCAGCAATGATCTCCTCAGTACTCAATAGAACATATTCCTCTTCTTGCCAGTTGCGTGGACTGGAGTACTGCAAAAGATTCTGCTTTATCTTTTCACTCAGTCCGTGTTTGCTTCTCCATGTAATGGATGTACAATATTTTCAGATTGCAATATTTCAGCTATTACCTCTGCCTCTTTTACTATAGTTACTTTACCTCCAGGCTCCAAATGGCAAACTTAAAGTGGGCAGAAAATTCTGTCTGAAATATTTGAACCATATTTTTTGTCCCTTCCCTTTTGTATTAGAGCAAATTAAACTAGGTGTAAAAGAAGAGTTTTCGCTCTAACAAGTGCAAAAATAACAACCAGAAATTTTCATTCAGAAACAAACACAGTTTTAATCGATATTAGTTGTGGACCTCAACCATGGGCTCTGTAATTGGGCTTTAGTTGACCTAATATCAAAGTACTTGGTTAAAATAATACAAACCTGAGAATGAAATCTAGATTTAGTCCTCACAAAATTTGTTCTCACAATACTTACAGCCCTACACTGGGAAAATCTCCCCATGAAAGAAAAAAATATAAGTATGGACATGTTTCAATTGCACGGCTGTAAGTGTTGTGAGGACTGAATTCGATCTCATGTGAGATGGACTGAAGCACTGAGCTTGGAGATATTGAGTTAGTGCCCGTTTGGGAAGATTTTCATACAATCGCTTTTGGCTTTATAAGATGGGCCCAGACAGAAAGCTTAGAAACTGTTGATAAAAAAAAAAAAAACCCTGGAAAGCTCAAATATGCTTTCACTGAGGCAAGAAAGTAACTTTCTGGTAAAGCTAATTTTTTGTAGCTTCTTCTGAGAAGTTCACTGAAAACTCAATCAAAGCTGAAGCCCTCCCAAACGGGCTTTTAGAGCCAAACTATTAGAACTCAGCTGGCCAAAGTTCGTTTTTCCAGGGAATGTGATGGAGGTATTTCCTGTAGAAATGCGATGAATAGGAATGGAGCTCTTAAACTAGAAATCAGATTTGTTCCTCATAAAATTGGTTCTCACAGCCCTTGCAGCCGTGTTTTGGGAATATCTCTCATGAATAAAAGTATACGAATATAAAAATGTTCTCGATGTACAGTTGCAAAAGCTCTAAGGTGGATGTGAGGACAGAGCAAATCCGGACTCCTTAAGGCTCAGTTTGGAAGGAGTATAAATACAAATATATACAGTGTAAATACATAAAAAATAATACAAAATACAATGTTTTACACTATACATATTTGTATTTGTACTCTTTCCAGACTAAGCCTAACGACTGATTCTTTTCTCTGAACAAGATTGTCCTCCTTGCGCCACTGTTGTATGGTTAAAGAGGCGTTTTTACGAGTTAAGCTATTAATTTCTTTTTTGAGGCCCAAGTCCGATGGAAAGACAAGGCAACGCGCAAGGCCCATGCTTATTGCAACCCAACTGGTTGGGTTCAGTTAGAGCACCCTTAAGTTAGGCCTGTAAACGGTATTCGAAAATTTGAATTCGAATTCGAGATCCGAATTAAACGATTCGGATATTTGAATTGAATGAACGGTCGAATTCAAATATGTTTTTTATACCGATTATAAATATATAAATTATATATTTATTTCATAATATCTACGATGATTCATAAATATTGATTTCTTATAAAGAAATATGATGAAGGGTAATTTGGCCCGACTCCTGACTAGGTGACACGTGTACGTGACTCACAGCTCGGCATAGGCGGATCGGTACATGGACATGACTCGACGCGGGTGATAGCTCAACAAGTGTCAGCTCCCACGGGGCGAGCTCGAGCACGCCGATGTCCCGAGCTGCACTCCGAATTAAGTTCGTCCCAATTCGCGAATTGGAACATCGAGCTCACTCCATGCCCAAGCAAGTGGCCCGCCTCGAAGACAACTCACCTCAGGCAGAACCACCTCGGCACACCACCAGCAGCTCATCACAGGGTAGCTCGCTACGGGGTGGCTCGGTGTTTTACAGGAAGCTTCTCATCTGACAAAGTCGTACCTGCCAGACTGCTCCCGCGTCCCTCGTCTAACGGCGCAGCGCCTACCAATTCAGAAGGTTGCGTCCCAGTCTCCCACCTGGCGACGTCGTGCTTATAGGTTGTCCCCCCAGCTGGCGGGACTGTACCATGCAACGGTCACTGTAGCCTGCCTGCTCTCGGCCCTGGCAGTAACGGCCAGCCACTCCGAGGTACGACCTGATAGTGGATCGCCACAGTAGGGATTTGGGATCAATCCCACTGAACCTGTCAGACGCCAGTATATAAGCACTCTGACTCCTCAGAGGCAAAGGTATCGCATATTCACCACTCTCTAGCTCTCATCTTCTTGCGTACTCATTCTCTTTCTTAGCTCGCTACCGAGTTCTAACTTAAGCATCGGAGAGTCCCCGCCGGGTGTTCAACCCCGGGTCCCTTTGTCCTTCTTGCAGGTATATCTTGCCCGTCGCCAGCTAGAAGCCTTGTCACTTCCAGCTAGGAGTGGTTGGATTGCGCATCATCAATTGGCGCCGTCTGTGGGAAACGTTTCAAAAGGCTTCTCTACCAAACTTTCATCGGCATTTATGGCGTCTTCTAGCAACGCCGGGCTTAACAACGGAACAAACACCTCTAGGGGGCACCTCCAAGCTCCCACTGTACGCATTGGATAGTTTACTGTACCCCTCAACACCTTCAAAGTTCCCACGCTGGACCTACCCCAGGTCGTTGAAGTTGTGAACTCCCCACTCCCTTCTGCGGTGAACACCACCTTCGCTGAGCCCGCCGTGGTCCCCCCGCAGTGGAGCAGAACCAGCTTGGTGACTTAGTGCAGTGCGTACGAGTCATGCAAGCCCAAATGCAGCAAGTCCAGCAACTTCAGCATTACCACCAACAAGTCTTGTGTCACTTCTACCAGCAACAGTTTCCAGCGCTGCAACAGAGCCAGCAGCCAGCCCAACAGTTTCCAACACTACTGAACCAGCAGTTGTTCGATTGCCACCAAAGTAGCCAACCTCCCCAAAGGGGGGAGACCTCCCAGGCCTCGTCCCGCAATAGGAGATGACCAATAGCCCCTGCCGCCTCACAGCAACAGGGCAGGTTGGAGAGCGCCCACCCCACCAAGGATGGTTCATCCCAGCACGCGCAACCGGAAGCCTCGTTGACGGGCAATCGGTTCGAAGTCCTAGCAACAAACTCTAGGCGAAATCCTTCAGCTCGCGAAAGCCAGCTCTAGTCAGACTCCCACCAGGCCAAGGCCCGACCTGAAAGCACCGAAACAACCAGCACTAGAACGAACTCAACCAGAAG